GCTTGGAGTCAGAAAGACGGGAATTCAAATCCAGCCTCAGACTCTTCCAAGCTGTGTCACCCTGGACATTGCCTCTGTTTGCCTCAGTTTTCTCGTCTCTAAAATGAGGGTCCTTACGGCCCTTACCTCCCAGGATTGTTGTGAGGATGAAGGGAGATAGTATTTGTTGAGTGCTTAACGCAGTGCCTGGCACACACTAGGTGCTTAAACAATGTTTGCTCCCTTCTCACCTTGTGGGAGGTTCTGAGGGGGGTGGGAGGTGGGAGGGCACGGAGGAAGGGAGGGGCGTTTGGGTGCTGGGAACAGCAAGCCAGTTTGGCCGTGGTGGGGTTGGAGGGTGTATTGTGTAATAATAATCAGGCCAGAAAGATAGATTGGAGGCAGATTTGAAAGGCTTGGCACCCGATGTCTTGGGGTTGGGGGATGTGCGAGGTCTTGTCTGGGCCAGAACAGAAAAGGAGCAATTGAATCGAACAAGCTTTTATTAAGCACCTACCGTGCTGAGCAGACTAAGACAAACGGGGAATTGTCCTCTCCCCTCGGGGAGCTGTCCTCTGGGGGTTGCGGGTGCGGTAGGAGGGTGGGTAGATTGCAGGACGTGGCAGGGCTGGTGCTCATGAGAGGCCAGGGCGTGCTACGTTTGGAAGCAGCGGCGGTCTGTCCCACAGGATGCTAATAGAGTAATAGAGCTGTGTGACCCTGGGCAAGTCACCTCGTGCTGTTTGCCTCAGTTTCCTCATCTATAAAATGAGCTGGAAAAGGAAATGGCAAAGCGCTCCATTATCTAAAGAAAACCCCAAACGGGGTCACGAAGAGTCAGATACGACTGAAAACGACAACACCGACAAGGGTGGTGAGGTCACAGAAATCACGTGTACGGCTCGCTCACTTTACAGATGAAGGAACTGAGGCCCAGAGAGGTTGAGAGACCTTGTTTGGGTCACACAGCTGTGGTGACCCTGTGACCCTCCGGCTCAGAACCTCAGCTTTCTGGGCTCCGGGTTGGGGTAGAGGGACTGGACCATGTGCTCTCTGAGCCCCTTCCAGCTGTGTAGACAGCTGTGGGGAGCTGTCAGTCTTGGGGAAAGCCTGGGCTCCTCTTCGGGAGCCTCTCCTCATTAGCCCGGGGCGGCTGTAGTCGCTCCCTGTTAGGAGAACCCCTCCCCCACCCCAGCACGGCGTGAGAGAGGGCCGGTGCTGCCTCTGGAGGCTGGGGGGAGTCGGACCATTTGGCCCCTGAGATCCTGCCTGTCATTTAGGGCCCGGGTGACACTCTTGACCGCTCTCTTGGCACTCCGGGCCTCACCGTGCTCATCTGTCTATGAAGGGGTTGGATTTTCCTGCGGTCCTAGCAGATCACCCCCTCCAACTTCCGTTCATGACTCCTCCCTCGGGTCTCTAGGGGTGACCCTGAGGGGCTGGGGTGCTAACACTATCTCCAGGCCCCTCAAGGAGCTCATTAAGCAAAGAGGAATTACAGAAGCATAACCCCTGCGCCAGGGGCCTCCTTCATGCTTATCTCACATGCAGGAAGTCACAGGGGAGGCCGGGCTCACTTTTAAACTACAGCATTCATGATGACAGCTGACATTGATGTAGCACCTTACAAAGTGCTCTGCATATGTTTACTCATCCTCCCCACAGCTACAGAGAATTGTAAGTGACTGACCCAAGGTCACAGAGAATTCTAAGTGTCTGACGTAGCATTGGAACTCGGATCTTTGTACCTCTAAGTCCTGCGCTCTATCCACAGCACCAGTTAAATTCCTCTGTGTAAAGATGGTGAAACGTGCTCATACGGAGCACATGTAGCAAAGAGGCGCGGGGAGTCTCTAGGGCCTGGCGTGGGCAGTCTTTTCTCCCTGTGCGGGGTCCTCATGAAGCTCTGGCGGGGGGCGGTGTGTTGGAAGGACAAGTGGCTCCGCTGGGCTGGGCTGGTCCTCCCAGGCGGAGCCATCTCTGGATGGCTCCCTTACGGTTCTACTCAGTTGCCCGGGCTCTGCTGTCTAGGCAGGGGCTGACTGGGCAGCGCGTGCACCTTGAGGTAGCTGCTCTGTCCCCTCCCCACTCCCGCGGGTACTACTTCTGCCTCTCACTGTGGTCACCAGTGAAACCTCTGAGGGGACCAACTCCAGGACCCCATGACCTCCTCCACCCCTAAGTAGGCTGGTCTGTAGCTGGACTGCCCGGTTCAGACTGGCTTACTGTTTTTATGTATAGGCCTTTTTTTTGGGGGGGGGGGTGGAAGCAATCAGGTTAAGTGACTTGTCCAGGGTCACACAGCTAGTAAATGTCTGAGGTTGGATTTGAACTCAGGTCCTCCTGATTCCCGGGCTGATGCTCTGTCCACTGCACCACCTAGCTGTCCCTATTCACTTTAATGGAACCTAGTTTGTACTTATGATTGCTTGATTGAATCAAGCTGGCTTTGAACTCGGGTCTTCCTGACTCTGGGTCCTTTCTAGCCCGGAGGATCTGCCATTCGAATTCTCTTTCCCTCCTCCAGCTTCCCCCAAAGAAATGAGGGTGAAACCCCAACCACCCGAATGACAGAGTAGTGATGGCCACATGGTGGCGCTGTGAGCCCGCAGAGGGCACCTGGGTTGGGGCTCCCTCTTCTAGTGCTGGAGGGAATCCTTGGTTGGGGCTATGGGCTGGGGGCTGGGGGAAGGGATTATGGGGCACATCCTGACTTACTGCCAGGAGCCACAGGAGTCAGTAGACCTGCCCACGACCTTTCTCTGTCTTGCGGCTTGTGGTGGGGCTCCATGGGGTGGGGCGGGGAAGGCTTTCGTTGAGGTGGGGAAGTTCTCCTGAAGGCTGGAGAGCAGTGGGGTCAGGCTGCCCTCTCTCTCTGCCCCCTAGCACCCCCGGGGCTGGGGAATTCTTGTTGGGGCACCCATGCATTTCCTCTCTGGCCAGGGGTCTAAAGTCAGGGGGTGGGAGCTTTGGCCTTCCTGGGACTCCCCGACCCCAGATTTAAAAAAAAATCTACTTACATTAGGCACTAGGCCCTGGCTTTATGAACCCAGAGCCCCTCCACCTGCCCCCACCCTCTGGGCTGGCTTTGTTTCAATGCTGGCCGGTTCCCTGGTCCGGTCCTCAACTGGAGGCTGTGTGTGAGAGAGTGTGTGTGTGTGTGTGTGTGTGTGTGTTAGGGTGCTCTCTACCATATACCAAATGAAGCCTCCACCCCGACTCAGCCCCCAGGCTCGGTCTCCGTCCTCTGGGGGGCTTCCCTCTCTCCTACCTGTTCCCAGTCTTTCCAGCCTCCTGCTCAGGAGGGGGGCCAAAGCCTCAGGCCACCCTCAGCCAGTCAACTGAGGCACAGAGTGGCAGTTCCCTTACCTCGGGCTTAGCTCAGTGTCCCTGGCTTTGGAACGCTGTCAAGCTCTGTAGTCTTTATAAAAATGCTGTATTCCCGTCCAAGAGTCTTCCCGGGCCCCCTCAAGGCCAGAGACTGTTTTCTGTTTTCTTTCAGGCTAGAGGGCCATCCCTGCATTAGAAACCCCGGGGTTCAAGCCCTGCCTCTGATTCACACAGGCTAAGCCACTCCGGCCAAATCCTTTAAACCCTCAGAACCCCACGCAGCGCTAGGAGGTGTTGGCTTTCCCCGGCAGACAAGCTCTCTGCAGTCAAGAAGCGATTAGGAAGTGCCTGCTAGGTGCCAGGCACAGAAATCACAGATTCGCCCCGTCTGCACAGTGCCCGGCACATAGTAGGACCGTAGATTTAGGTCTGGAAGTGACCTTACTGGTCACTGAATCCAATCCTCTCATTTTTAGAGAAAAGTAAACTGAGACCCAGAGACTAGCCCAGGCTCACACTAGTAGTATAAATGCAAAGGCAAAATTCGAACTCAAGTCTTCTACTTCTAGACCCAGCACACTTTCCACAGTATGACAGGATAAGTGATTGTGAATGAATCTCTCTCTCTCTCTCTCTGTCTCTCTCTGCCTCTGTCTCTTTCTCTCTCTGTGTCTCTACCTCTGTCTCTGTGTCTCTGTGTCTCTATCTCC